GTGACGATGAATCAGTTGTGAGTCATCGATTGTGCAGATTGTTTATAAGTACTTAACCTATAACTTTGATCTTCTCTAATAAAATATATATATATATATATATATATACTAGCTGACCCCGTAATCGTTGTTTTACCACTTATTGCGAAATATAAAAATCGCAATTAAAATACAGGGGTTGATCGTAAAACGATGAAAATTTAAAGTCGTATGTATTTTTCAATGCTAAATCATAATAAAATAAAAATGGAAAAATTTGTCAAAAAAATAAAAAAAAAAATTTCGGGAGAGTTGCCCTTATCATTGACGGGTATGAAAAATAGATGTTGGCCGATTCTCAGACCTACCCAATATGCACACAAAATTTCATAAAAATCGGTAAAGCCGTTTCGGAGGAGTTTGGTAACAAACACCGTGACACGAGAATTTTATATATAAGATATTATGTTTATTAACTGCCAAGTATATATCAGAGGAAATTTTTATACATAGTTACACGTACATTGGTGACTGTCTATAAAATGCATATCTAACATCAGTCTATCTGTCCTATTGATTCTGCTGCTAAGTAGCTTACCAGCATGTTATGTTCCGGTTTTAACCAGAACATAAATAGGGGTAAGAGGACTGTAAGGTAGGATATCATGATCATCATGTCACAAGATTTACTCTCGAGCGATACGTTTGATTTTAAAAAGTTTTATAGATTGCAGTAGTCAAATATCGTCATGCAAACTTGACCCTTGATTGACACCAGTCTTATTCTATAAAAAAATTTTTTTGATGCAAATTCTAAAGTGAATTTGAACATAGAAACATTAATGGAGTATAGACTCGACGGCGCAGCTACATTACAATGCGACCATTGACAACCTTTGGTGGAGAGCTAAATGTCGCAAGAGCACCCACGAGAGCGTGAGAGCCAACCACTCAGGAGCATTGTGTCCCAACTGGTTCTCACATAAAAATGTATGCAAGAGCCATCTGTAATAGTAGAGCATAGTGCAGAAATCGCGAGAATTGTTCACCTTTGCGCAAGAAACCACCGCGGTGTATAATTAATTGAAATGTAAAATTGTGCTCTACTGAGACAACGAAATTTGTGGGAATATAAAAAAAAAAATTATAGTACACAAATATTTCGAAGTTAATCGCAACCAAAAGTAAAGTACATACTAAATTATGTTGTCTAAATTAATAGTGTGTGTGTGTGTGTGTGTGTGTGTGTGTGTGTGTGTGCGTGCGTGCGTGTGTGCGTGCGTGTGCGTGCGAGTGCGTGTGCGTACGCGCGGGAGTGAGCACGCGCGTGTGTGCTAGTGTGAGTGTCTTATTAATATTAGAAATTTTAAAATGTATAGGTCTTATTTGATATTATTTTTATCTAGTTGAGTCGTTAGTTTAAATAAGCGGCGAACAAACAACCCTTTCTGATTTTACAATAAAAAAATACCATATCAATCCTAAATAAACATTAAAAATTCCTCACGAAACAAATTCAATCTTGAAACACGTATACTCGTACGTGTACGATCCCCTTTTGCGTATTCTAAAAAAGAATTCTTCGAATATTTAACTTACCGTCAATAGAATTAATGATTTATATCATTATTTAATTATTTAAAATTTTGTGTAAATTCTCCACACAATAATTTATATGAATGTACCTATAACATAATAATTAATTCTAGTTTTTACTCGTTACATTGATCAATATTTGGCATTACGGTCATGCTCACTAAATGCGATTTAGTTTCATAAACTTGAGATTTAGGTATTCAATAACAAGGTAATCCTCATGTTACTTATAGAACAACAAAAATATCGACACAAACTTTTTACATATATTTGTTACAATAATATCAATTACATTAAAATTACTTACATTCGTCTAACAAAAATATGTAAAAAAAACTACTAAATAATCTTTATATAGTAATTTGCTGTGTAGTTCCAGCATAGAATAGGCCACCCCATTCTTTTCTGTAGGGGTCGTAAGAGTCGACTAAGTGAGAGCGAAGGACGGGCAGCAACGTCCTTCTTAAAACATCTCCAAAGCCTAACTGCGGTTGCCAATCCGCCTGCCAAGCGTGGCAACTACTGGCAAAACCCCAAGAGGGAGGGTTATGTTCAGCAGTGGACAGTTTAAGGCTGATATTATGATGTTGATAAGTACTCTTAATACTTAAAAATATCATTGTTCTCCTGACAAAAAAGTATCAATAATTCGTATTTCTTTTTAATGGGTGATAATAGTATGGTAACCCCGCCCGCGCTAACGGGATACACTGGCGGAGCACCAGTGAAAGGTGATAGATGAGAATGAAAACAGGCCAGTTAGCCCATCATGATGAATTCATCAGGAATTAACCATGATAGTTACCAGGGAGAACCGCGAGGAGGTCGACCTGGTTGGGTATATTGCTAGCAATGGGATTCTCAGTCTCTATTACTAACAATCCCCTTCCCCCCAATAATACGTATTTAATCAAACCATAAACTCTAGTAATTTCTGGGTGTGTAGAATGAATTAAATTTATTTCATGAATAAACGACTAGGTACTGCTCTAATGTAAACAGTTTACACTTATCAATCTTCTTCAATCATTTGGTTTTAATGGAATGAATTGTGTTGAAATAATGAATTGTTTATTAGTGTCCATAATCATGAAGCAATTTCGAGAATGCACGCTGTTATATCTTTAATTCTCTTTATTCTTCTAGGAACTGTTAACACACGTTTATTTACCGTACAAATTGATTTTAATTTTATGAATTATCTTCTAATAATTTAGTAAAATATTAATATACTAGACATATCTGTATTTTTATCCAGAAATTAGTAACATATTTAAATAGTATTAAATATCCTAGGCATTTATAGTAACATAATGTAAATATAAAGTCTACAGTTATAGCAAAGAACAATTTTTTTGTAATGAACAATGTGTTATTATAATGACAAATTAGGAATTTCTTTTCAGATAATTAGCTCTCGAAGCTAAATTAAATATTTAAATAATCTTTAAACTTTTATCTGTTAAGATAGATAGATAGATAATTTATTTACTTATACGTATATATACATATACAAGTTAAGATTTCCTTACGATCAGTAATATAGTATCAAAGTTATTTCACGCGATTCCAACTCGCATTTGACAGATTTATTGCCTTAATTTTGTAGAGTAGCTAAATAACAAGCGGATTTATGGCGGAGAGAAAATTAGTAGCTATTGTTTTATCTTCCTACTTTCCTAGTTTATAAAACAATGTTGTACCATATTAGTTCAGACTGACGCTTCGAGATGTACTAAAGCGATTGTTTATTCCAAATTTAAACCTCAAAAGCTACTGAAGTGTTAACAAAAAAAAAAAAAGGTAGGCGACGTGCCAAGGGATAAATTATGCACCGACCTTTCGATTCCCGGTATTCGAACTTGACGCCTCCACCATTATCTCAATCTTATTGTGTTTTAGTTACAGTGTAGTTTAAATGATCACCTCAACAATTTCGTAGTGTACGCCGACAAAGGAAGACAATTCAATGTCGCTGCTATTGTACCGTTATAGAATTTTAAACCATAGGTTTAGGAAAAGTGCCTACTTCACCAACTTTGAGGTCACATGTTTCCAATAAAACCTCAACTGACTCATAAGAAAACGGTGTTCCAATTTTATTTATGTAGTTATAACAAGCGATGATTCATTTACACGGCTCATTTGATGTTCATCTTAGAAAATAAGAATAACATTGAGGTAATCGGGAAAGTGATTTTTTTTTTAATAGACCAAGGAAAGAGTTGAATAATGACAGCCAATTATTCAATTCCATTGCAAAACAACAAGATGAAACGGAACGTGACGTTGTAGAAAAGAATGTTAGTGGACCAATGGATATTTTGGACCATGATCACTTTTGAAGTAATTGTAAATGTGTAAATAGAATATAATAATAATGAGCACGAAGTTAAAACACAATATCTCATGACTCTTATTCATTTCAAAGATGCTGTAAGAGGTGATAAGGATAATAAAGCACAACTCTACAATCCAAGAGAAGAAAGACTCAAAACAAACCCCTATACCAAGCTAAATTCTATCAAAAGAAGAGACCAATGCTTAATCGAGTTGTCGTGATAGCAAATAAGTGTTCTGAGTTAGCTCAAGTTACCTAAGGCAGCACATACAGCTAAGACAAATTTTATTAAGAAAACGAACGATTCAATGGTTTTAAAAGATATTGGCATTCGATTCATTGTTTCTGTTCAACCCATGTAGAATTTGGAGTGCAATATAGAAATCATGTTTTTTATAAGCAAGAGAAAAACTTAAAGGCGTTATAACATGAACGGCGCCTGTTTGCGAAAGAATTTTCAAAAACCTATTGGAAGTCTACAAATTACAATTTAAATTAATATGTTAATGATAACGAATAGTGATTCAATAGTTTAATGAGTACCATTTTGAATTATAACGTATTTAAAATGGTATAGCAGTAGTAATAAAATAAATAGTAGCATTAAATAAATGAGATCCCGCGTGAAATTCTTGGTCAGACCAATTTAAGAAACGGACTTTCTTAAATTGGTACACATCTGGGTTGCCTACAGTATTTATTATGCTTACTTTCATTGAGGGCCGGGCAGTTGATGTAATAGAATTATTTAATTTTATAAGTTAAGTATTAAATGATGAATTTTTAAAATAACACAAATAATATCTCTTATTAAATATTAAACTATTATCAAATACATTAAATATAGTTTTGGCCTCTTTATGATTTCAAACTAGGTGGGCATGCAGAGTAAGTCGTAAACATTATTTCCTGTAATTTCTAGCGCGGTAAGTAGAAATGATCCATTAAAAAATAATAAAAAAATAACATAAAAGATAAATAAAAATGCGTGTGGGCTACCGACAAATGTTACTCAAGTACTACTGTGAAATCGTTCACAATAGACTATAAAGTTGGCGGGTAAATTTACAAACAATTTACTTACGTGATACTGAACTTCCAATGAAATTAAACACTCAACCCTCGTCAGGGGCGACCACTAATAAACAAACTCCATTGCACATCACACAAAATACAAAGTCAAAAAGTAAATAAGCAGAGTTAGCACAAGCACAATGTTTACGTTGCAGATCGAACGCAGCGCGCGGTTCTACGAGCGACGCGACACGGGAGTCGCGCGCGGAGGGTCGGCGCGGAATGCGTCAGCGCGCAGTGCGCGTACACTGATGCCGGCGCCCGCGCAAGATGCTGCGCGTGCGTCGCCTTTGCCTCCAACGCAATGTGTTTCACATTATTTTGACAAACTGCCATTGAATCTTTAGCACATATGTATGCAATACCAAAGATACTATCATTCTTTTTTAACCATGACATTTTGTACATTTTTTTTAAACAGCAAAAAGTTCATTGACCAGATAAGCGTTACTTAATACGTTCAATGTTCTGAAAATTCCATTCGACAAAAAAAGACATCGTCATTGGACTTGAAAAAACTTCTGACACTTGTCTCGCAGTCGTCTTGTTCTTTCTTCTAATTAAGGCCAAAATTTCGACGTTCATTAGTGATCGATCATTTGCGGAGAATTTTATACAGATAGTTAGTTAATTTTAAAAATCCCGTTCAAATTAGGACCGTCTATAATAGTGATTCTACAATATGAATAGTAGACAAGTAAAAAATATGCTGCAATTAACTTTAATTGGCAGTTAGCTACTGTTTGCTAGCTCCAAGTACGTACATAAGTATTATGAAAATATTTTTATGTAATTTATTTGTTTGCAATGCCATATTGTAGTCGTAGATACTTAAAAAGGCTGTTCAAACATCGTGATCTAACATAAGGCCACAAAGGATGTTAAAGACCGAACAAAGTGAGAAGGCAGACCGTGGCAAAAAGGCGGGAGAAAAAGTTAAAGATAAAGGTAGAGAACAGAAGAGAGATAAATAGTGCATTAAAAAATACAGAATGAGTATTTCAATAATGCATTTATCCCTCAAAGCGATTCCTTCCAAGCAAATGCCTGAATTCCTAAGAGGAATTGTGACAGAAACAAAAAAAAAAACATAATGAAAAATTGAAAAAGAAGTTATATATATATATATATATATATATATATATTTGGAAGTTTATGCAATACATTGATATTATGCATTAAAATACAACTACATTACATACCTATAGCTAAGTAATACACTAAACAGAATACAATATGATTCACTCATGATACACATATGAAGCCAATAATATACATAATTATTAATATACATATACATTACTATATCATATTAGCCCATCGTGATGGATTCCACTCCAGAATTAACCACGATAGTTTCCAGGGGAAACCGCGTGGAGGTCGACCTGATAGGGTATATTGCTAGCAATGGGGCTGTTAAATCTCATTACTAACAATCACCTCCCCCAGATATTGATATTAGATTCAAAAATAGATAAACCCGATGATATAGGTAGCCTCTTTAGCAATGATTTAAATAGATTTGTATAAGTTTTCTATGCGGCTGCGTCTGTTGCACAATGCCCCCAGCTTCGGTAACGAAGGAAGTGTTTTATTATACGAAACGCGCTACAATCAATGGAAGCGGTGTGGTATTGTTAGGTGTTGTTATCGGAGTTACTCAAGCGATCACGTGGAGCGATAGGAAAGGGTTATGGTGAGCACGCGACTTGTGTTTTTACAAACGTCCCGTGACTTCTCTACAAATAAGAGAAATCCATGTGACTTAATTCGAATTGTATCAAGCATACAAATATAATGATGAATGAATAAAATGTGTCATTTGATTTAACGTGCAGGCGATGGTCGCGTACAGCGCGGTTTCGGAGAAAGAAAGAAAGAAAGAAATAATTTAATCAAAAGAAACATGCGGCCCACACAGTAGCGCACAAAACAAAAACAAAAGAAATCAAAAACAAAACAAACAAAAGAAAATAATAATTATATACAAATAGATAGCAATTAAATTATAATGTACGCGTGCGCGCGTGTGTGTCGCAATGTTCTGTGATGTAGGTCCGTGCTCAGCATATTGCTGCAGCGCTTGAAGCGCTACAGCGCTGTTTTTCAGTAAGAACCATAGCGTCACAAGTAAAAAACAGTTATATAAGTAGTGCGTTGGTATTCTATACATATACAAATCTACATTATACATATACATATACACATACACGTACATACACAGACACATACACATACATATATATATACATACATACACATATACATACACACACATATACACATATACACATACACATACATACACATTCACACACATATACAGAATAAAGAAAAATGAGATGGCAATATATAGTGGTGTTTCCTCCCACGAACACTCAGGTTGTGGAATGAGCTCCCTGCCGAGGTTTTCCCAAGAGACTACAGCGTGGAGTTCTTCAAAAGGGGGGTAAAGAGGTTTCTTCTGGGTCGGCAATGCGCGCGTAATACCTCTGCTATTGCAGGCGTTCATAGGCTACGGTAACCGCTTACCATCAGGTGGGCCGTATGCTTGTTTGCCACCTCAGTGGCATAAAAAAAAGGTCGAATACATTTCGTGCAGTGTACGGTCAGTGCACACCCCTTTCTCTCAACTGAGCCGACGCACTAATAGCTTTATAGGTAGGTACTGCATAATTATTTAAATCTACACAACATGTCCGATTTACATTTTGAGATTTCGCACTGAGATATTTAAATTCGCATTGTCTATGTAAACAGGCGTTATGTTTGTCCATTGTGATACGATCACTGCGGGGGGGAAGGGATTGTTAGTAATGCAGACTGTTAATCCCATTGCTAGCAAAATACACTATCAAGTGGACCTCTACTTGGTTCCCCCTGAAAACCATTCGTGCTGAATGTTAGATGTACTCATCACGGTGGACTAACTGGCCTGCTCTTTCATCTTCACCTCTCATCCCTCACTGGTGCCTCGCCAGCGTATACCATTTTCTAGGAGACTGAAAATTACTTCTTTAAATTATAATTTCAACCAAATTTCCATGGTGGCAACCATTGTATATTGTACCTTGACAGTCGTAAATTTATAATATATGTAAACAATGAAAAAGTTTCAAAATAACTATAAAAATGTATTGTTAAAAATAAAAACAATTTTTTCGATTTTTTATTTGCTCTCCTGTAATGTGCCAGAGTTTTACTTACGCGCTTATAATTATTTTACTAATGACGTTATTTAAAGAACTCCAGCCTTCAAGACTGTCAACGTTTGAAGGTAAGACATTAATCTAAATATATTTTATGTTCAGATATACATGAACAACTAGTTCGACACCGCTGTTTGAGTATCAGCAACTTCTGTACTGTCCATTTTTATAAAAACAAAAAAATATATAGGTCGGAGGTTGGCGATCATCATGGCGATCTTTACCTTATCCGTCGCCATCCTGAAAATGGATCTGGTGCTTATTCCAAACCTTAGCTTTTTAACCAGGAGGTACGGCGTCTTCCCGATCTTTGGCAATCTTGAATCTTGGGTGGAAAGGGATTGTTAGTAATGGAGACTGAGAATCCCATTGCTAGCAATATACCCAACCAGGTCGACCTACTCGCGGTTCTCCCTGGAAACTATCATGGTTAATTCCTGATGAATTCATCATGATGGGCTAACTGGCCTGTTTTCATTCTCATCTATCACCCTTCACTGGTGCTCCGCCAGCGTATCCCGTTAGCGCAAGCGGGGTTACCATACCATTTTCACCCATAAAAAAAAACCTTGAATCTTTCTCTGTATCACTGTAGTACTGTAGGACTATATTTTCTATTTGCATTATGTGTCCTAGGTACAGCAATTTATGGCGTTTTGTAACGTCATTTATATATATATATATATATATATATATATATATATATATATAAAAGTATATAAAAGTGACTACGATTTTCAAATGAGTCAATAACATATCTAATATTCTTGGAATAAAGTATAGGTAATTAATCTGGTCATATGATAATTAAGTTTGCGTTTTGTATTTAATTACTGCGGTAATACATTTTTATATTAATATTTAAGTAGTGCAATAGAGGGACAGCGATACTTTGTACAAAAGTCGATTGCGTAAGAGGTATCCTCTTTCCCATTCGTGTTTCAACCGTGAGGCAGTTGTGTTTGCATAGCTGTGTTTCGGTTTGAAGGGTGGGATATGGCAGTGAATTTACTGGGTACAGAGGAATAACACCTGAGTCCTCAGGAATGGCAACGCATGGGGGGTATCATGGGCTAAGCAGTATACTCTGTTATGTCCATGGTACTGCACGTGTCTATAGACGACGGCAACCACTTTCCATCAGGTGAGCCGTCAGCTTGTTTGCCATTCTAACTAATATAAAAAAGAGTAAATGAATATAGATAAAAAACACTTCTTATTTGTTTGTTTGTAACACTTTATTGTGCAATAAAGTCTTAAACTATATGACACAGAGTTTTTAAAAAAATTAGTGCAATGGCGGACTTATCCCATAAAAGGGATTTCTTCCAGTCAACCATTGTATATCTGACAGAAATTATGAATTGGTGAGAACAAAAAAATAATAATAGCTAATTAAAAAAGAAATAGTTAAATAGTGAGTGTTACAGTTACAATACGAGCACAACTTTGATACTTGTATTATTTATTACAAATTTATTACTTCAAAAGTATGTTAAAACCTTAGATTATGTAGATAGAGTGTCTTCATAGAAATGCTTTAAAAAAAACTGGTCAACTTTTTCATACAATTTTGTGTGATAAATAGTTATAAGTGATTCCTTTATAACTTCTATATTTATTTTGTCTTATAATTTCTGTATCTTTTTAATGCGTAAACACTCAATTTATTTATTAAATAATACGTCAAGATACATTTTATGCGTAAGTATATAGAACACTGATAAAAAACGAGTCAGCGAATTTACAGCTAAAAGACAAAAAGTTGACCCATTTTTTAGAGTCGATTCTCCATTTATCTAATGTTAAAACAGACTTTAAACATATTTCACAAACATCTCTTTCGCACTCTTTCCCTCTCATTTCACAATCGCCCTGCAAATATAGGCTAACATAAAGTTGAGCCGTTTTTAAGGCTCAATGCTCCGTCTATCAAAGTTTAAAACCGACTTTAAACATATTTCACAAACATCTCTCTCTCTCTTCTCACGAACGCCCTGGAAATGTAATAATGAACGTTAATGTTCATT